ATGGTAAATTTAATGATTCGAAAAGGACAGATCAAAGTTCTGAAAACTGGCCATTCAGGTGTAGTCTTGAAAACTTATTTTGATTTACATAATGCATTTAACGATTATGAAAATCAGATCTTTAAAAATGACATTCTTAATTTCGAAGTATTTCGAAGTATTTCGAAGTAACGCGCACATCATATACTGTAACATATCAGAAGATTTATAGTACGTAATATCCAATCTCAGAAAATTGTCCCTTTTATCTCAAAACAATGCACATGGAAGGTGTTCAAAATAACGCGTTATTTCACGGTTTTACGGTATATACTATTTAATGAAGGAACTGTTGTAAGATTCCAGTTTTCAGAAAAACAATTTAAAACTTCATATCCATGAGAACAATTAACTTTATTAATATTAGCGTTAGAATTGATTTCTAAACCTAACTCAGAAAGAGTATTATTTCAGGTTAGCCAGATTATTCGTGGCTCATTTTAGAATAGATCGGTATATTGTTTAGATTTTTGATCTGATCGACAAAGCCAGTACCGGAAAAAAACACTAACGTTTAAATGTAATTGTTCATCTTTTTTCAACTGAGCCTCATTGCGGTCGCAAACTACAATATAAACAATTATTGATATAGTAAGTGATCGAAAATCATGCCGATCATTATCTAACATGCTTTATGAACAAAAACCACTAGTTTTATTCGAAATAACAGAGACGGCAAATTAAGAAAAAAATCGTTGTCATTTTTTTCTTCTTGCTCGAAATTTGTTATATGATGAAATTCAAATCTTATAATTTAGTCTTCGTGTGCATTTTTTTGATATTTCTTATATTACCTACAGATTGTGCCACGAATTTTACGCACATTGAGAGTGGTGAAAATTCTAGAGTACCCAACCAACCACCTCGTGTAATAGATATTAAATCTTATGATGACGGAACAGCAGTGGTTCAAATAATTCGTAGAAACACTTCTGCGACTCCTTCAGCAGGTGTCTGCGTTGAATCGTTATTATCATTACGTATTATTCATTTAAATGGAAGCGTAACAGAAATTGATGCTGATTTAGGGATTCAATACCTAAATTATTGTTTTCGAAGTGTATTCTCAACGCCTATACGTGTTTATCCGTTATTTAATGATCTCATTTTATTGACATATACGAATGCTACGAATGAAGGAGATACCTCAACATATTACGAATGGGGAATGGTTATTAATTGGAGCGGAAAGATCTTGAGGTGACTATGTTGAAGAATTTGTAAGGATTATCAATTACTATAGTTATATCGATAGTTATATCGATAATTGTGTTATTTTATTTTTAGCTCAATACCCTTCTCGCAGTCATACGTGAACCCAGCAACTAATGTTTGGGTACCTAATAATGCCGCCATAAAAATGAATATTGATCCTAGACATGGATTTCTCCGTTTTTCTCAAGTAACTAGACAAAATTATTCTGAATGGAAGCAATATGATGTGTATGTTTGATTTCGCTGTCATCCTTTTTGTTTCGATTATTTGCA